AGCAGCAAATACTCCAGTCTTCACTGCCATAAGATCCTTCAGAAATCATTCCAATATGCAATATATATATTATATATAAGACCAACCACTGAATGATCTACAGAGTTCAGTAGCTCTGAATGGTGTCAAGGTGCACCAGTCAATCACATAATGAATTCCGCACAATGCTGACCTGTATATAGAAAAGTGGCACAAAAGGCACCATTTCAAGCACGTCTGGAGATTGTCAAAAAACATAATAGAGACTCCATTGCAAGGTGTAAAAAGATTTCCTGGTTAGATCACACCAAGATTCCAGCTAAAATTCAACACGATGCATGTGGTGCTAATATAACACTGCCCACACCTCCAAAAAGCACCATACCTTTAGAGAAGTGTGCTGCTGGTGGTGCATCATGCTGCGAGACTGATTTTTACCAGCAGGACTGGGCATCGTGTTAAAATAAAGAGAACAATAGATGGTGCAAAATGCAGAAAAATACGGATACGTATTTCAGCCTGCTAAAACTCATGAGAGCGTTTTTCAGCAGGACAAAAAAAGGCACAATTAACTTTGGAGGGGCTAAAGAACAAAAAAAAATCCATTTTGAAATGGGCCAGTCAAAGCCCCGATCTCACTCCAGTTGAGAATCTGCCACGCTACTTGAAAATTGCAGAGCACAAGCATCATCCAACCAATTTGAACAAGCAAATCTGGCTGTAAGAAAGGCTGAAATAGTGCTTGAACTGTGCGTGCAGCTGTCAACTGCTGCAAAAGTATCTTAAATGTGCTTTTTATAAAATATTAAACAGCAAAGTTCCTTCAAAGTTTTTTTTTTACATTAAAAAATATTGTAATTTATACTGTATGCTGAAGACAAAGCCCTGTATATAGATAGAAAGCGACCAAGAGTAAGAGCAACACAAAGGAGAGGGTTTTATGTATGTGTATATATGACTGTCATCCCAAGGTCAGTTCAAATCAAATAAAAGGCACACTCAGCAATGTGAAGATTTGTGTATGGGACTACAGCTTACTACATTAAACATACACAAGCCACAGAGTCAACACTCAACCTAGGGCTCAGCTTTAGAGGACAAACCCCCATGAATGTCAATATACGACTTGAAAACAGCAGTCTGCACCAGACAGCTCTGTATTTGTCCGGCGCTGGATGTGCCTGATTGTGAATACAGATCTAAGAAGTGCTCTTTAAAATTATCGATCAGAACACCATTAGAAGAGCCCGTAAAGGCTTTGCCTTGCATATCTCACTTTTCTCATCCTGAATCCCGGATGTTTTCATAACATTTGCGAATTCTTCGTTAGCCTTTCGCTTGGTTTAAAACAGCCATTCCTTGCATAATTTTCCTGGCTGTTTTAATTAGTTTTCCACTGCTTAAAGTGGTAATTGGATTTTTCTTGGAGCAATCTTGTTAAATGCATAAAATCATATATTTAATTTAGAGAGGAAATCGATGGCGAAGTGAGTGTCGTTGGCAGCGCTCGTGCCGTTGTGGACATACAACGAGCGCCGCTGAGGAAAGGGAGGCAATATATTAACACGCACACTAACATCTCGTTACTGTAATGAAAGCTGTAAATCCAAAGCGTGAGTTTTATAAGTGTTTCATGGGAACCGTATAAGCAAGAATCAGGTATTCTGTTGTGTTAGGGAGACTTTATTAATGTTGTTAATTTTCTAAATGGACTGCAATTTTTCATGGAAAGCCTGAAGCCGTCATATTTTAGTCAAACAAGAACAGACATTTCCAATCAATATTGCTGAGTTCTCTCTCTGACATTTGTGTCTGTCAAACTGATTTAAAATCTGTGAGGGCAGTGAGTTGGAAAGCTGAGGTGGTTTGATTCACAGCTGCAAACACCTCGCAAGTGCTGCGTGAAGATGACGTGTTGGTAGCTGTGCTCTTTCAGGTCCAAGTTCAGCTGAGTCCAGGCACCTTAAATGATCTCAAGAAATCAAAACGTGACGTGAGTTTGCTATGAGGTTGCCTAAATGATGACAAAATTCACATTTAAAGTTAGCATATGTCCAATTTGCATATTTATTAGTATGAATTAGTTAGGTTCTCATAGATGTATCTCTCATGTAAGGCAAGTATGTTTACTGCAACATGAGTGTTTTGAGGATTATTATTCTCTGAAACCTGTGTTTCTTCGAAAAATGATTTAGGCTACATATTCTGACAGTACGCAAATTTGGACACTGCTATGGTTCATGGCTGACATAGCCAAAGCCCATAGAGTGCAGCAGTCAGGTTCTAGAAGTAAAAATCCCATTCATTTTCTCAATAGTGGAATTGACTTTGAAAGTTAACTTATAAATCGTTGAAGACAGACATACTGCGAGATACAAGATGGTTAACTGATTGTATATTCTTTTGTTCAAGCCAACAATCCACATTATTTCAACTTATTTATTTTTTAAATAGTCATATTCAACAAAGGAATTCCTGTTGGAAAACGACATTGCCCATGATTCTGCAAAGAAATCTGCAACAAAGAAATCACACCAAAAGGACACTTTAGCACCCACCCACTCCCATGAAGCCCTGCAAATTATGCAGATTTTCCCAGAGTACCTAAATATTTGTATACAGTATGCATATTTTAATATAAACATAAATATATTGTTACTATATAAAATCAGCATCTTCAAAAGTTGTATTTCTCCACCGTTTTTTAATTTTATGTCATTCACAATGCTTTATGGGGTTGTAGTTCTTTCCCTTATTAAAACCATTAATGACATACTTATATACCGTTGTCTTTTTGTTCAATTTTCAAATACGTTTTTGCTTCAAATAAAAAATTGTGATGTTGTGAATCATATAAGAGTTTTTTTTTTTTAACTCTTAAACACTTTTTAAAATTCCCTATGGGAATGATACTTCTGGAACCAAGGCATCTAAGTGGGCAGGCACTCCTGCACTCTGTTGGCTATAAAAAGAGGGCATGTCTGTCAATATGCCTCACTCAAACTTCCTGTTTCATAAGAAAAACATCACAGGGAAGAAAACTGTGCTTGTCAAGACATTTAATGGTATAAGTGCCATTTCAGAACTGCTTTTTAAATCATGCTAATCAACTGAGGAGAAAGTAAGGACTACTTCTGGGCTGTTAAACTAATTTTATAAGTCATATTAATTCCAAGTAATCAGCCACTGGACTGAAGTTGTCATTACCACACTTTTAAATCATTCAGCAACTGAGCAGCTGAAATGACCTTGCAGTGTACTCTCACTCAAACAATGTCAATTATTTTATAAAAAATGATACATATAAACTGAAGTGCTTTCCTTTACAAACATGAACATGTCCCTCTGTACACCAAGTCTTTGAGAAGAAGCTATTGAATATCAGGGCACGGATTGTCTGCAACACAAAAGATAAGCATTCTCCTTAGACATCTGGGCATTCACTCTCAGCCTGAAACTGGGTTCACATTACTGAATGAAAATATATATGAAGCAATTAAGAAAAGACATAACTCAATGTGAAGTAAATAAAAAAGAAACAGAGGACAGGATGAGCAGGCTTTCTATTCAGAGCTGTTTTTATAATTATTCTGAATAATTTATGAATGTCTGCTTGAGATCGCGAAACAGTGATCTGTTCAGTGTATTTTATTAAGCTCCATTGCTTTTGCCTGCCACTTGTAACAAGCCCAGCATTCCTCTCATGTGCCTATGAGATCATTTTCTAATAACGTCCGTAATCCCGAACCAAACAGCGACCAGTTTGGAAAAGTAAACAGAATCAAACTCATCTTGAGATCGCGAAACAGTGATCTGTTCAGTGTATTTTATTAAGCGCCATTGCTTTTGCCTGCCACTTGTAACAAGCCCAGCATTCCTCTCATGTGCCTATGAGATCATTTCCTAATAACGTCCGTAATCCCGAACCAAACAGCGACCAGTTTGGAAAAGTAAACAGAATCAAACTCATGAAAAGAAAAGGCGACATTGATTTTCAGCCCCTTCGATATATGTGTTATAGAGTCTCATGTCTGTAAAGAGAACAATGATGGGGTGACCCTATCCTCCTTTGTTTGCATTATCTGCTCGCTGCAGTGACTTGCTTAATTAAAACTGTATTTATTATTACTTAGTGCCAAGTCAAACGAGATTTCAATTGCCCTTTTAGTTTTCATTTAGCGAGCCAGTTAACAAATAATTACATTTGCTTTCTGATAGCAGCTTCCCTCTAATGATCACAGACAGTATTCTCAGTCTTTATTACAATTAATCAGATAAACAAACAAAATGACAAGTTATCACTTGCGTTGAAAGCCAAATCCATTATCAATGGCATAAAATGATCACTTTATAATCATCCCGACTGGACAAAAGACAAAATATCCTATTGAATTCAAATCGAATTTATATCTCCGACTCTGACAGACACAACAACAGTTGATACTGAGCGTGTGAACAAAGTGACAAATTGAAATCGTGTATTGTTTGGACACTGAGATTCAATCTCCAAACACTTATGCCATCTGAAAAACAGTTTACAGCATCTATCAGAGCGCTAGAATTTGTTGGGGAAGAAACCAAAATGGAACATGTTTCATGACTCAGAAAATATCTCACACTGCGATAGCGTAGGCCAGGCTGCAACAGGCGTTCGTGGAAAAACTGCCATCTTAACACGTCAAGCTGTGTACGAGTCCGACAGAGAGACTAGGCTCAGTTTAAACACGCTCATTGCAGGGATCTAACTAGCCCAGGCAAGACAATTTATAGGCTAAGCTTCACATCCGACCGTGTCGTAGCACACCCGCTCTTAGACGCGCAGTCGTATTTCTGGATGTATGCTTGTATTCACTAACTGAATCATCAATCTCCTCTCTTGGAGGCTAATTTAGCCGAGGCCTTTTAAATGCTCTGACAAGCCTTGTGTCATTCATCAAACTCAAGGCTCTATTGGCTCTCTCGGCTAGCCTTGATTACACATCATGTCTGTGTGCAAACCACCCTGTTCCACAAACAAAAGCAGCCACTTTAGCAGTAAGATCTCCACATCAAAATATGCACCACCGTCTGGCTGTCCGAATGAATGAAAGGAGTCATGAGGAAATGGCCACAACGTATGCTGCAATTCATGTGCTTTATTACAAAAATCTGTACAAAATGTCTTCCCAGCTTTAGGATTGAGCATGTGTTACTGTCATTTCATATCGATACAATTCAAAATCATGATAATAACCTGTTGGACAACAGCTAAACATTGAATATACTGTAGTAGTAGTAAGGTCTGTGTTGTCCGTATGTTATACACCATTTCACACGTCGCCAGATATTATTTAAGATAATGTCTTTACATTATTTTTTCCCTTACAGTTTGCCACTCAGACTCATATTGACAACAGGCCTGCTTTAAAACAAACAGCTCTCACAAGATATTCAGCAAGAACCACTGCAGAGAAAAAAAAAAAACTGTACACGGGACAGCATAGAGCACTACAAAAACATTTCGCCGCTTTGAGTTTCTCCACTGAGACTGAGGGTTTCAAAGAATGGAATAGGCTTAATACAAAAGACTCCACTTCAAACGCTTGCTGTCATAAGGGTTCTCTCTACAAACTTACAAAATAACATCTCAAAATAACTCTGGTTGACAGCCTCAACTGAAAGGCAAGTACTATACATTGTCAATGATTAAATCCACTCCGGCCTATCCTGCTCGATACATCAAAGTCTATTCACTATGAGTTTGACTTGTATTTTGGTCTGCGGAACTGCGGGATACTTCAGAAGTTGTGATAGCGATGCGCCTCGACCCAAATTTTGGCACAGAACTAAGGCCTGATAACAGACGTGAAGCTATGCATAAAGGATTTTTTACAAAGCAACAGTTGCAGTTCCTCGCAAGGCAATGCGTTGGGAAAAGATATCGGTGTACTCGTTTGCTGAATTTAGATTGACTTTTTTTCCATAGAAACATCTGATAGAACAGAAACATTGATTTTTCGAGTATCACTGCAGCATGGCTAGCTGGATGGCACTGTTCTCATTTATAACCATGGGTAGAGCACTTCAAATGTCTCTTTGAAACAATTGGTATTCCTGGACCAGCTCACATGGCCCTGCCGTCCACTGTCCATTATTCTCTTGGGCCCGAAGATCGCTCTTTGGGCGCTTGCAACCACACCCCAAGTGCAGACTTGGCAACTAACTGCAATTTAAATAGAAGCGCTTCAGACTCAAATCTCCACCGTCTATTCGTTATCAAAACCGCTGCTCTCTGCAGATATAACTTCCCCCTACGCATTGAATGTTCCTATTTTTTTGCTCCCCTCTTCCGTCAAGCATCAATGAGTCAGTGGTATTGTCTTGATCATTGTTCATTTCCATTATGCCCTTGATTGAGCAGACCTTGGCAGGAATTTTAATCCCGGCTAGGAGGAGAATATATTGCTGCTGTCGCCGTGGCCATACAGGTCGGCTAACTTCCTGAAGCGAGGTCCCCAGTCGCTCAGATAATCATAGTTCTGCTCCGAGTCTGTGCTCAGGGAATCCAGGGAGCTGAGGGATTCGGCCACTGAGCCGCTGCCCTCAAAAGCGTATGTCTGCAGGGAGTCGTAGGGAGGCGCGGAAGGATCGACGTCGGCGTCCTTCAGGCGGTCCCATATAAACTCCCGGAAGATCCCGTTGTCTGGGGTGATTTTGTAAGGGGGAGGGCGGGAGCAATAAAGGGTGGGCACCTCCGGGGTGACGTCACGGCGGGCTTTGCTGTCTCTCACTGCATTGAGGTTTCGCAACGCCACCATGTCAAAGGCCTCTGTGTCTTCCTCACCTCCTCCTTCGTCGTCGTAGCGCACAATGTTCTCCCGCACATCCCGGTCTTCGTCCAAGATCAGAGGTTCCTTCTTCCTCCTCCTCATTGTCACAATCAGCAGCACCAGCACTGCAAACCAAAGACGAAAGAATCGACGTGACATATTAGCATCACAGAGTCAAGACACAATGTATACACTATTGTTCAAACATTTTTTGTTTGAGACTTTTTTTTTTTTGTTAAAGAAAATTAATACTTTTAATAAGAAAGGAAGACATTTATAGTGTTAGGAAAGATTTGTATAAATACAAATCATAAATATATTTTATTATATAACATTTATAAAAATTGAAAATATCTATCTAATTTAACTTGTAATATTTCATAATATTACTGTTTATTTTAATAATAAAATAAAAAAATATAGCCTTTTCTGAGCAGAAAGTGGGGAAAAAAAAAAATCTTACCGACCCCAAACATTTATAACGGCACTTTTGTCAAGAAACATTTTTTTAAACCATATAATGAAATAATAATACATATTATTTACTGTATACTCTTTTTATAATAGTATATATAGTACAATAGTGTGTGTATGCGTGTGTGTGTAAATATTATATGCTTTATAATAATGTAACATACTAATGTAATATAATAATATGCATGTTGTTTACTGCCTATAGCATATTTACTAATAGTATAAATAATTTGTTTTTATTATTACTAGTTAATTTATATAGACATTGTAACTGTCTGATTTTTTGAAGTTGTTAATAAAACAAAGACTGTTTTGCAAGAATTTTGCTTCAAAATGTCATGTTTAATTCAGTGTGTTACTTGCCAGCTTTTTGTAATTGTTTGTGAAATTTACTTACTATTTACTGTTTCTGAGTGAAAATTGTTACATTTTCTCAGTGCAGTTTAAAAAACGTAATATTATAACAGTAACTTGTTTTAATTTACTTCATTTATATGAAATGTATTTATTTATTTATTGTTTTCTTTTAATATAAAAGAGATAGTAAGAGTGGATACTGGAGATATGAGGAGAGATGTGATTCTCGGGTCACTGAAAAAAAAAAGAAGAAGAATTCAAGGCCACTTCTCTGACAGTGCATTTATTCCTAGTTCTGTTGGTTTCCACCAGACTATTGGGGAGCAAATAGCTGCACAGTGCTGTTTACACCTTGTGCAAATAGTCATTACAATTTAACAATTTGCTAACAATGCGAACAAGAAACCCCTTTTATATGGGAGTAGAGTGTTTAATAAATTGCTTCATTGCAGATTCATGTCCTTGCCACAGTAAACAACAATTCCATGAAATATCAGGGACCAGGAAAGATTTAGAGGCACCAAAGCTTTAAAACACACACACACACACACACACACACGTTTGTTTTTGTGAATTGTGGGGACATTCCGTAGGCGTAATGGTTTTTATACTGTACAAACTGTATGTGCTATTGCCCTACACCAACCCTACACCTAAACCTACCCCTTACAGGAAACTTTCTGCATTTTTACTTTCTCAAAAAAAAAAAACTCACTCTGTATGATTTATAAGCCTTTTGAAAAATGGGGACATGGGGTAATGTCCTCATAAGTCATCTTCTCCTTGTAATACCTATGTCATACCCATGTCATTATACAAATTTGTGTCCTCATATGTCACAAAAATGCGCGCGCGCGCGCACACACACACACACACACACACACACACACACCTCTCAAGCAGTCCATTTACCCTCCATTCAAGATAAGCGAAGGCATAAAAGGTGTAGAATCAGATAGCACTCGACCATGACTGTATCTCAACAATATTTATGACACCAGACCAAAATATTACTTTCTCATTGTTTTCCACTCTATAGACCAATTCTGCCCCAAGGCCTGACACTTTAAGCTACAACATGAAAGATAAGCTGAATTATCTCTACAGTTCAATTAGGGCAGTTCTGGTACATTAGTTTTATCAATAAGTTCATCAGATTGGGTAGTAATGATTTTAATAACGCTGCTGACAAACCCCAAGCAGGAGGTGTTTCATCATGGGAGGTGCTCCTGGGAGCAGGAGGTGTTAAAGGAGTAACAGTCTGATCTAATCTCATCCTGCATATTTGTTTACAATGGTTATTAACCGTACAGACCCTTATCCACACACTAAAACACATGCGTGGCTGAGAATTAAACGCATGCTAGCACTTTTGTCTTCTCACTCTTTGCTCTGTCATGTGTGAACATAAGCAAATAGACAGAGATGAACACATAGATGCACGAAGAGCGAGATTTAGAGCAGGATGTGTGCTGTAAATATGGGGCTTTAACGGCCACTTGCTTCCTACCCACTCATACACAAGCTGCTTATTCGGAAAAGGCCAGCATTAAATCCTTTTAATGAGTGCGGCATATGCCTACTGTACGTGTAAAATAAGACTGGATTATATGTCAGTCGGAAAATATCACCCTGCCCTGAAAGCACAGACCCCGTATACAAGCACATCAAAACTATCAACAAGAGGCAAGGCTGCACCATCGCACAAAAGGCATGTGTCTCTGCGATTCAAACGGGGATCAAATGCAGGGAGAAAGATGGCGTGAAAGAGACTGAGAAATTCTGTCAATACAAAAAGAGAAAAGGGAAAGCGCATAGCGTGAAATAACTAACATAAGACACATGCACAAAAAAAGGGAAATAAATAAATTTTTTGTGGTGTGTGGAATGCAAAAACCAATCCTCCGTGTTGCCGCTCTCAGACCCATGAATGCAAAGGAACTTACAGTACAGCCACAACACAGTCCTCCCACGGGAGTCTATATCTCTCTCTCTCTCAATGTAGATAGCGTATATGTGTATTTGGCTGCCAATACCAAGCTCGAGGGGGAGGGAAGGGAGCAGAAAAAGGAGGGAGAGAGGAAAAGGAGGTGTAAGTGGGAGCAGCCTGAAGTGAGAGAGAGAAAGATAGAGTGGAGGGAAAAGGGAGGCAAACGTCTAATGATCCATCCTTCAGGCATGCCACAGCGAGTGTGAAATATGGTGCCAAAGTCTCATACTTCATCCTCAGGCCTAGTGTCGTTTTGCAGGGGCAGACAAGCTGGGCGAGTGGGATGGCGAGGCAGCGGCTGCACGTGTACAGTCATATTCACGGTACACATACACACGGGGAATGATATAAACAATAGTAAAGCCATTATCGACCTTAAATTCAAGAGCAACAGTCTTACACTGGGGTTAATGGTGAAAACAAATAAACTACTATAAAACTGAAGATAAAGGAATAGAAAAATTACAAATCTGTCATTGTTTACTCAACATCTTGTCTTTCTGAAAACCTGTTTTTTTTTTTCTCCTGTGGAACACAAAAGGATATTTAAAGGGTTAGTTCACCCAAAAATGAAAATTCTGTCATTAATTACTCACCCTCATGTCGTTTCAAACCTGTAAGACCTTCGTTCATCTTCGGAACACAAATTAAGATATTTTTGATGGAATCTGAGAGCTGTCTGACCCTGCATAGACAGCAATGCAACTGAAATGTTCCCAAGTCCAGAAACGTAGCAAGGAGATCTGTAAAATAGTTCATGTGACATCAGGGGTTCAACCGTAATTTTATGAAGCTACGAGAATACTTTTTGTGCGCAAAA